AGCTCGATATCAACGCCATCTGGTGGAAGTTGAACATATCTCACCACCGATCCCCTGATAAAACAGTTTCTCACAGAAAGCTGAAAAGGTAAAATTTTAACTCCATTACTCCAATCACAGCAACAAAAATTACAGACAACAGATGTTCTTGATCAAGTAAAAACAAGAAAAGAGAATTAAAACAGAACACATTCTACAACAAACACAAACTAGAGACTGGGAAATAAGACCTGTTCCTACACGCTTAAAATTTGTTCTTATGTATCCCATGCTCGTCACAAGATACCTTTTAAACCAAAGTTTACACATCATGGCCATGATTATGAGTGTGGTTAGGAAGCCATAGAAGGATTTGGAATCAATCAAGATCGGCCAGATTTGAGGTTAGGAATCACGAACCTCCACAATGATATGATATTGTCCACTTTGAGCATAAGCTCTCGTGGCATTGTTTTTGGTTTTCTTAAAATGTCTCGTACCAATGAAGATAGTATTCCTTACTTATAAACCCTTGATCAACCCCTTAATTAGTGATCATTGGGACTCCTCTCCCAACAATCCTCAACGATCCTCCACTCGAACAAAGTACACCATAAAGCCTCTCATGAGGCCTATGGAGTCCTCGAACAGCCTCCCCTTAATCGAGGCTCGACTCCTTTTCTCTAGAGCCCTCGAACAAAATACACCATCTGTTCGACACTTGAGTTACTTTTGACTACACCTTCGAAACTCACAACTTCTTTGTTCGACATTTGAGGATTCATTGACATGGCTAAGTTAAGGGCATGACTCTAATACCATGTGAGGAATCACGAACCTCCACAATTGTATAATATTGTCCACTTTGAGTGTAAGCTCTCATGGGTTTGCTTTTGGTTTCCTCGAAAGGCCTCATACCAATGAAGATAGTATTCCTTACTTATAAACCCATGATCAACCCCTTAATTAGTGATCATTGGGACTCCTCTCTCTACAATCCTCAACATTTGACAAGCTGAAGAATGAAAGTGGTTCCTTTGTGCAAGTAGTGTTAAACTAACATTTGGTCAAAAAGCCACCACAGTACTTAGGCTGGGCGTTTAGTTACAATATCTATATAAACTACATTGTCAATACAAAATGAGAGTTCTTGGTCTGAAGATGGCCCCTCTTTATATGCAGCATTTCTTGGCCTCTTAAAATACTTGCACGAGTACTACAATGTGAGTGTTCCCCCGCACTGATTTATTAATGCAGCTTAAAATTTAGACTCAAGAACAAAAAATTCTACCCCGTTCAAAATGTGCTGAAAATACAAGTGATCATCCCTTCATTTACCAGTTAACTGAATATCAAACAAGAACAAACTAACTGACGAAAAAAGAAATTGCTCTACAAAACTACTTGACAGTCATATCAATCTCCAACTTTAAAATAAATAATTCAGAAATTCTTACTAAAAGAACAATTCATACTAGAAAAATCCTACTGATCCACTACACCAGTAAGTATTGATTTGCTGAAATAAAAATCATGAACTAGATGCAACATCCAGATTAATGAGTTCAATCAAAACCAGTGTTTTAAAACCCTCATGAAATTAGAAAATCAAATTCATTTCGAACAGGAAATTATCAAGAATCCTCTACTTTAACATATACTTGCTTTTTTTTGGATAAGACTCGCAATATTTTCTACTCTGGTACAATCCACATTAGAAGGTTGTAGATATAAATTTAATATATTCACCTCAACTCGTGTGCAATGTATTGTTCTAAAAATAAAGTTAACAAATAAGAACCTGTTGAAGATTGTTGGGAGAGAGTCCCACATTGGCTAATTTAGGGAATGATCATGGGTTTATAAGTAAGAAATACAACTCCATTGGTATTGAGGCGTTTTGGGGAAGCCCAAACCAAAACCATGAGAAATTATGCTCAAAGTGGACAATATCATACCATTGTGGAGAACCATGATTTCTAACAGGTCCCCTCCCCGTTGGGAACTCTAACCAAGCAACAAGATTACTTGGAATTTTCACCGATTTGGGAACCACCCACAAAATTACTTGAAACTTTACCCCCGAGAAAATTCAAGAAAGAGCAATGGATGAAAAGAAGATCAACATTCTCAATTAAAAGAATATATAAAATGAAAATCTTAGGGTGACGATAACAAACGACGGTACAAATAATCTGTGGACCATAACCACATATCATGCATCTCGCCAGACAACCTTCCAAATTATTAGAATTAAATGAGCATTAAAAGGCAACTCTAGTAAATAAGAGGCAGAAATGACAAGAAAGGTAAGAAATTAGATACCATGTGAGGGTATTTGTCTTGATCAACAACCCTGGTGTTTTCAAGTTTGATGTTGAGATATTGATCTACGGAGTGCAGAGTTCCTCTAATTGATAGGTCATTTTTCAACTCGACTGTCACCTCTCTGCCCACCAAATCCTTGAAGTACGAGAAAAACAACTGACAAACAAAACATAAATCAAACTCCAAACGCATATAGACCAGAGATTTTAGAAACCGTGAAGGATCTGAGATGAAATAACGGAAGCAAAAAACGAGACAAACAAATGCTTCAGCCCTGAGGTAGGACTAACATTAACGAAAATCTTAAACGAAGGAGGAATTACCATTTCAGTAGAGGTTTGAGTTGCCGATCTTCAGTCTATCTCCGCTCGACGATCGACGACTTCCAAAGGTCGAAATGCCGCCCGAACTCTTACAAAGGGGTGTGTTTTCTTCCGTTCAAATTATAAAAGAAAATGGTAAATTATAAATAAAATAAAATAAAATAAAAACAGTTTGTAATGAGTTAAATTTCAATTTTAATTTTAACCATTCAAATTTTATTTATTAAAACGAAATTTTACAGTTTAAATTTGTTCACATATAATTTTTATTTTTAAATTTAATGGTAAAAACAATAGTGTTAAAACAAATTTTAAAAGTATTTTTAGTTTAACTTAATTATTTTTTATAATTTAACTTGCTCCTCGATCAAAAACAATAATACTGAAAGGAAGGAATTCCTACCAGTAAACGTTATTGTACTTAAAGTGAACTATGATGAACGTCAATGAGATGTCTTGAAGTGGCCTGTCGTTTAACTAATGTCCGACACTTTTCATACTTCGTGGGTGTAATGTCGACGAGTTCACTCACGATCAAGTTATGACCTAAGATATATGACCCTACGAATTTTATAAATTTTGGTCGATTAAAAATAAGTCTATTATTATTGACTGAGATTTTACGTGTCTATTTGATATCATATTTATAATTACGTAGCACATCAATAAAAATATAAATGTTATTTCTCTTAAAGTTATTATGAAAATATATTATCAATAAAATAAAAGTAATTTATGCAATTAATTAAGTCTATTGCTAATATATCATATCAATAAAAATAAAAATAAAAAAGTGTATCAAAAGAGAAGGAGAAAGAAAAAATTAAACAAAAATAATGATTAACTAGATATAGGTAACTAGTTTCCATCCCTATATTAATTACAAAAAAAAAAGAAAAAAAATTATAAATATTTTTTAAAAGATTAATGAATATTAAGGTTTTGAAAGTTTATAGGTCTAAATCTATTATTATATTTTTTTTTATCTATATATATTAATATTAAAAATATTTTTAATTTGAAATTATATTGAATTTTTTTAAAAAGTGGGAATAAAACAATAGCTAAAAAGCTTGTTTCCATAGATATATTAATTATAAAAATTTTTAAAAAATTTATAAATATTTTTATAGTTGTTATTATCCTTTTCTATTCTTATATTAATATTCAAAATAATTTTGAATTTTAAATTATTGAATTTTTTTAAAAGTGAGAATTAATGGCTTCAAAATTATTGAATTTGTTAGGAGTGAGAATAAAATAACGGCTAAGAAGCTGGCTAACTAGTTTCCATCGATATATTAATTTTAAAAATATTTAAAAATATTTTTATACTTGTTATTATCTTTTTTTTTGTTTATATATTAATATTAAAAATATTTTTGAATTTGAAATTATTTAATTTTTGAAAGATTAGAATAAAATAATGACTAAAAAGCTTACTAACTAGTTTTCATCTATATATTAATTATAAAAATTTAAAAAATTTATAAATATTTTAACAGTTGTTATTATTTTTTTTTTCTGTTCATATATTAATATTAAAAATATTTTTAAATTTAAAATTATTGAATTTTTGAAAAGTTAGAATAAAATAATGACTAAAAAGCTTGCTAATTAGTTTTCGTCTATATATATTAATTATAAAAATTTTATAAAATTTATAAATATTTTTATAGTTATTATTTTTTTTAATTTATATATTAATATTAAAAATATTTTTGAATTTGAAATTATTGAATTTTTTGAAGGTTAAAATAAAATAATGACTAAAAGCTAGTATTCATCCATATATTAATTATAAAATTTTTTAAAAATTTATAAATATTTTTATAGTCCTCATATATTAATATTAAAAATATTTTTAATTTGAATTTATTGATTTTTGTAAAAGTTAGAATAAAATAATGTCTAGTTTCTATTGGTTTATTAATTATAAAAAATTTATAAATATTAGTTAAGGAATATTTCAAAAAATTTATAGCTCTAAATCTGTTATTATCTTTTTCAATCCATATATTAATATCAAAAATATTTTTAAATTTGAAATGATTGAATTTTTTAAATATAGAATAAAATAATACTAATTTTTTATAAATATTTTCAAAGTGTATAGCTCTAAATTTGTTATTATCTTTTTCTATCTCTGGTAAATATTTTTTAATTTAAAATTATTAAATATTTTAAAAGTTAGAATAAAATAATGGATTATTATTATTTTGGGCTTCTAAAAGGATAGAATTAGGCTTGAAATTGATTTAAAAATAGTAAAATAAATTCGTGTCATTTTCAAAATAATTTTAAAATGTGTAAATAATACATGTCACAAAAAGCGAGTGGCTCTCGGCGCGAGTTCTACGGAGAGCAGTGCAGGAGGCTTCGTCAATGAGATATTTCTTGTCGTTTATCAGATGTCCAGCCTGGTTCGGGTCCTCAGCGCCGTTGGCCCTTCGTGTCGCTGATATTAAAAATCAGAAACTTCTGGACAATCACATAAAATCCACTCCTCTATCCCTTCCCCATCTGTTATTTTTGGATTTTTCTTTTAGTTTTGAGTGAGACTTGATGGATCCCTGTTGTAAGATTCAGCGGATGGGTGAGTCTATGGTGGTTTGACAATCGCTCAAATCGGAGAGAGATTTGGTTTTCGGGAATTGTTTTCTGAACTCGGTTTCTCTCGGATATGTCGGAGCTTTGTCTTATGGCTTCCCATGGATACCCTTCGGCTCTTGTGTTACACCACCAGCATAACACCTCCAGGGAAATCAAGGTACCCTACAACAAACTGTTGATTTGCGAAATTTCTATAACTTTTGTGCTATTTTTTTTTTTTGGATTTTAAGCCGACTTTCAAGCCAACCATGGATTGGTTGTTTATAATTATTCCCATTCTTGGTTTGTTTCTATATTGATTACGCTAGATATTGTGCTTCTGTTCTGATCATTATTGGCTTGGAGATTCTTGTATGCCTTGCTCCCTTACATTGGCTAGCCCTTCCTCTTTATCGTTCCACCTTTTAGCTATCAAGGTCACACCATTAAATCATGTTCTTAAGGCATAAGAATCTTTTGTGAATGATCCTTGACTCATCGAGTCGTCAGTTTAAACTGTTGTAGGTTGTCATGAAGATGTATTGTCGTATCTCGCATTTAGTTCATAACCCTTATGGTTCATATTCTCATTATTTTTTTGCTATTAACTCTCATTTAGTTCATATTCTCATTTTGATACATCTTGATTCATGTACGAGCGTTAATATTGCTATGCTTATATAAAGACTTGTCTAGCATTATTTTGAGATAGGGAGGGATTGCCATTTTGTATTTGTCTAGAGACAATTAGGAGAAACTTTGTGTGAGATACTTTGTAGTAGTGTGAGAGAGTGAGAGATACACTTGTAAACACTTTGGTTATAGTAATTGACTACTACCCGTGGATGTAGGAGAATTTCTTCTCTCCAAACCACGTAAATCTTTGTGTCTCTTTGTTTAATATATATTTGTGGGTGTGTGATTGCGATCGACCTTGTATTTTGGTCGTGGAATGTAAGGGTACGAACATAAACTTTTTTACTTTTGTGATTAACCAGGACTGTCAGTCTTTCTTGTCAATACGTGGAGCTAGGCCAGAAATTGTGATCGGGTCAGAATTGCAAAATATTCAGCCTCCACAGAGCCATGGATCATGGAAGTCTACTATCGGGATGCCAGACTCCAATCAATTAGTTGAGTTTGACCCAAAAGTTAGAAGTCTGAACATGATTGACTCACAAGGTTAGTCGATTAGCAAGTTTCAACATAGTTTTTAAGGACTCTTATTATCTTTCCTATCATCTATAACAGCAGGAAACAAATCATTGAACTTCATCATGACTGCTTTACTTTTCACTTCTCTGGTGAAATCTGATTTTTTAAGAAAACACTAGTAGAGCAACGATGCTTCAAAAAGAATTGTTATAGTGATTATTAGTATAGTTCTATCGTTGTAAACATCTTAAACATGTTCTCCTTTATTGTCCTTTTACTATCTTTTACATAAATTACCCTTGTACACTTGTCTGAATATGTGAAATCCCACATCATTTGGGGAGGTGAACGAAACATTCTTTATAAGGATGTGGAAACCTCTCCCTAGCAAATGCGTTTTAAAACGTTGAGGGGAAGCCCAAAAGGGAAATCCCAAAGAGACAATATCAGCCAGCGGTGGACTCGACATCAACATCATCATCATCATTATCAACTAAACATTCTTGTCTTCGGTGCATCTTCTAAGATGTAATGGCAAAAGTAATTATAGGCTAAGCTACCATAACCTAAGTTGTATTAGTATTATTGCGCAAAGTGGATTTTTATAATTTGAAGATTAAACTAGACAATAAGGTACATTTATGGGCATCTATACCCGAGTCTTAATTGTTCCCTCTTTGATTTGGTTTCAGATAATCAGGGTGGCTCTTTGATATTCAGTTCTAGATTTGAGGAGGAATTCAAAAGGTGTGAGAAAGTCTTGGAGTCCCTTGTGTCCTGTCCAAGTGAAGAGAAGAAATATGCATTAAATTTACCAGACTTAAGGGGGTTACAAGAATTAAAGACGCAGCATTGTCGAGGGCCCGTTGCTACTTCACTTATCTTTCCTAGCTGCGAGTTTGATGCACCGGAGCCAATCATGGACTTCGTTGGCGAATTGATTAGAAGCTCAAAGATCACAATTCATCCCGATGGACAAATTCTTTTAACTGAGACTGGGACAAAGATCAAGGATTTACTTTCAGTTGTTGCTGAGTTTTATTTGTCGAAGAACTCTTTAAGTTGGAGCAGGCAGTCAATTCTTGTCCCCAAATATGATAGGTACATATTTCTCTGCCTTTATTATCATCCACTTAGTGGTTCAAAGTTTTCATTTTCCATTTGTGTTAAGAATTAAAGAAGAACATTATTGCAAACCCACAGTGCTTCTTTATTAATTTTAAATTATTGTTGTTTTTACCAGAAATAGGTTTTTACTTTATCATGAGGAAATATTTTGGGCAATGTAACCCTTGGAATCCTCTATTGTAACAAGTTTTAGGCTTCAGATAAGTTACATGAATTTAAGCTGACACTGCAAACATTCTGTGCCCAGGTTGAGCGGTGGAGTGGGAAGCCATATTTATGATTCTCCGGTGAAGCTTCATGCAACAACCATTGCTCCTATGAAGAGGTATGTGCCACATGCCTAAGTCGTACAAGTTCGATTCTTTTCTCGTCATTCGTTTTGGTCGTGGCATTTGCTTTTAGACTTACACAACTCCTGTTATGTACTTGACAGCCCTGATATAATCAAGGTCAAGCCATCGCCAAAAAGGAGACGCAGTAAGAAAGTAGGCCATGAGAGAGATCTGTACAAGAAAAACTATGTCCACGCATGTGAGAGTCTGCTATCCTATGTGTTTAACAAGCAGCAGCAGGGGAGAAGGGCAATACAGTCATTAAAGAGTTCGGGGCGAGAGGTTCCTCAGTTTCTCACTGAGTTCTCTGTTGGTATTGCTGGGGCTGGTCTTGTTGTCCTTTTCTCTGTCATGTATGAAATTGCTTGCGGGAGTGTGCCATTTTGTTCGTCTAAACTCTTGACCACTGGATTTGGGCTGGGTCTGGTTTGGCTATCTTGTGGCGTGAATAAACTGAGGGATACAATAATCTGTATCAGCAGGAAAGCAGCCAAGGTTAGCTTGAAGGACGATGAGATGATAAGGAGAGTGGATAAGAGCCTAAATGATATCTTCTTCAGAGCGGCGACTTTAATGATGGTAGCCATCTTGAAAATTGGTTAGGCTTAAGTGATCATCCTAGTTGGTATTCATCTGAGTGTAGATATGCGCAAGTAAAGATCGCTTGAACTCAGAAATGACAATTTCGAACCGATATCGGCATCGAGTTCAGTTGCTTGGGTCTGTTTGAACGCCCCTCTCGAGAGCGGAGACTCGTTCTCTTGTCGTATCAGCTGTTCATGCAAGGTTTTGGTTGTGGGGGGTTACACTATCAAATACTTGAAGCAGATTGCAGGCGTTGTAGTTATATACAATTTTGTTCTTATAATAAACGTATTTCTATGAAGTTTCTTACCTGAACTATTTTCCTTACATAAATAACTATCCTTTTAAGGGCAGCTTGGTTGGAAGTTTTTGTTGGATGAGCATGAATAATATAAGTAGTTTCCAATTTTTTATTATCAAGTATCTTATTCCGAGATATAGATAAATTTTGTCAATGTTTATTTATTCTTCCTTTATTTGGAAGAAATTGATGCTTGTCAAAGTAGCTAACTGAAACGATAAAGTATTTTCAATTCAAAACGTTACGTAATTTGGAAGGACCAGTACGTATACCAACAGTGGATAGTCCACCAATAGAGATGTATTCCTTACTCATAAATCCATGATTATTCCCTCCAATCCTCAATAGTGTGTTTATTCATCTACGACACAACAACGTCGCATCCATTGTCATCTCGATTTTCAATAACACAACTTCATGATGTCATTTCCATGTCTTGGAACAGCTTAGCCTTGCTTGGGCACATCCGTTGGGAACTGACCCATGTGTCAATCATCTCAACAGGATATTCCGAACATCCATCTATTCGGGTTATTATTAGGCATTGGACTCTCCCATGTCCATGTTAGACTATTTACGGCATTTGTTCCGAATAGCGGGTGCATAGTCCAACTTCTGACACATGAGCTGAGGTGCAATACCGACAGACCCGTGTTATCCGGCACTTTGAGCATAAACTCTCATAACTTTGTTTTGGGCTTCCCAAAAAGCATCGTACCAATGGAGATGTATTCCTTATTTATAAACTCACGATCATCTTCTAAATTAACCAATATGAGACTCTTTCTAATCGTGAACAGTGTGTCGTAAGAGTCGCAGCCTACGTCACGTTACTTTGTTTTGTCCTTTTGAATTTTGGTTGCTGCAAAAGGGAGAGGCTATTCATGAAGTGACACCATCTTCGGGCGGCTATTTTCTAAGCGAGCAGAGAAGGAAACAGGCGTAATTGGCGACAGAGCTGAACTGCATGCTTACAGAACACTCACCCACCACAAAAAAGCCGATTCCTTTTTCCTCCCTTTTCACTAATAATCATGCAAAGGAAGGGCTCGCGCGGTTTCTTAGCTTACAGGATGTCAGATTCTTCCCTCAACCTTTTTCTAGTTTCTCCCGAATCAATACTCATTGGGATGCTTTGAAAACAGCTATTAAGTTTGTCATACTTGGACTCTTTCTTAAGAGAATTGGGCAGAAACCATTACTTGGAATATGGTTCTCCTCTCTTAATGTCATATTGATTGGAAAACACTCACAAAAAGCACCCGCGTTTTCGATTTCTTAATCAAATTCTATACTTCGTGTCGTGTACAATGAAGCTTCGAACTAGGATCCACGAAGCATCCTTATGGTATCTTTTAATAATCAACCCCATCCTCTGTTGAGGATGGTTGGGAGGAAGTCCCACGTTAGCTAATTTAGGAAATGGTCATGAGTCTATAAATAAGGAATACATGTCCACTAGTACGAGGCCTTCCGAGAAAATCAAAAGTAAAGCCATGAGAGTTTATGCTCAAAGTGGACGATATCATACCATTGTGAAGAGTCGTGATTCCTAACATGATATCAGAGTCATGCCCTTAACTTTGTCATGTCAATAGAATACTCAAATGTCGAATAAAGAAGTTGCTGGCCTCAAGGATGTAGTCAAAAGTGACTTAAGTATCGAGGAGCCTCAATTAAGGGGAGGCTGTTTGAGGGGCTACATAGGCCTCCGGAGATGCTCTATAGTGTACTTTGTTCTAGGAGAGGATTGTTAAGGATTGTCGAGGGCTCCATAGGCCTCAAAGGAGACTCTATAGTGTACTTTGTTTGAGGGGAGGATTGTTGGGAGGGAGTCCCACGTTAGCTAATTTAGGGAACGATCATGGGTTTAAGTAAGGAATATTATCTCAATTGATACGAGGACTTTTGGGAAAACCAATCAAAGTGTACAATATCATATCATCGTAAAGAGTTGTGATTCTTTGACACTTCTCCCGATGATTCCTCTAGCAATCATCCTCTAGTATAAATAGAAGAGGTTCCCAACACCCACAACACCATCAATCATAGTCTTACAACACACCATGGGAAAGAACACCAAATCCTCCAAGCGCAGTTCAGTGTGCGAGAGGTTTCTCAAGGCTCTCGGCATGTGTCCTTCCCCAACCCGCCATGAGGAACCCCTGGCTCCTGAAATGGACAAAAAACAGAGGCTCAACATCAATGGGGCACCTGAAATGGAGAAAAAACAAAAACTTGAACCAAACGACGCGTTCAGCGACTACATCAATCGGGCTAAGCGAAGGCTGGGAAGCATATCGAGCAAGCGACATGATCCGAGTAGCAAGGGAAAGGAGAATCTGAAGGAGGATCGGCGCTTTACAGATTATATCATCCGAGCTAGGAATAGGCTGAGGGCTACCTCCTCGACCGTGGGGCGGAGTAGTAAAGGACAACCACCTTCCTGAATAACGCCGCCACTACAACGACAACCACCTTCAGTTTCGTGTTTTGTTCTTATTTATTTTTCTCCTTCCTTTGTTTGTTTGGTTTGTGGATTTTATCTCATTTGCTTATTAATTGGTGATATTGTGAATTGTGAATGCCATGTAATTCTATGCGGATTAAATTGTTTTTGTCACCGTTTTGTGTTTTAATACAATGGTACGATATTCTTACTCTCAACCGTATTCAACAATTCTCCCCTCGAACAAAATATATCATAAAGCTTTGGTTTATGTAGCTCTCAAATAGCGTCCCTTTAATTGAGGCTCGACTCCTTCTTTTGGAGCCTCGAACAAAGTACACAATTTGTTCGATATATGAGTCGCCTAAAGCCTCCCTTTAATCGATGTTCTAATCCTTTCTCTATGGCCCTCGAATAAAGTAAACCCTTTTGTTTGACACGAGTCACCTCCCACCTCTCCTGAGGTCTATGTAACAAAGTACACTGTTTGTTCGACACATGAGTCGCCTCCCACCTCCCTTGAGATCTATGTAGTTCTCAAATAGCTTTTTCTTAATCGAGACTCGACTCCTTTCTCTGGAGTCCTCTAGCAAAGTATACCGTTGATAATTCTATTGACATGACTAAATGATTCTATCGACGTATACTTCGGGCCCATACGTCTTCCATAGGAAGATTCAAAACAGGCCGAAGTGTCCAACTAACAGGTGGTCGGCTGTGGCCCAGTATTCTTTCTTTTTCTCTAGACTAGACTTCCGCTGCCGCTCTTGCTAAGAGGCCGCCGTCACGTCCGTCGTCGTCGTCGCTCCACCACGTCCAGTCCCATCCTTTTTTCTCTCCCCATCCCTCTCCGTTTTATTTGACGGAACCCTAGATTTTCACCGCTGCCGTTCAGGTACGTTCAACGTCGCCCTACCACGTCGTCCACTTCTTTCCTTTGCCTTCTCTTCGTTGAAACCATTGATGCTGTTGCCCTCTGCATTTTAAACTTCGCCGTTTGCTTATCGCCTCGTCCCGGTTCCACTGCAATCGTTGCATAGGCGGCACCTGGTTCGCCCGTGGTTCCTACCGCCGTCGCACCTGGTTTGCTCGTCCCCCACCTTTTCTTGTCACTTTTTTTTTACATGCATGATCGTACGCGTGTTGGAAGTGAACCGAACATTATTTTCTAAAATCCAAAACCTTGAATGGAAGCTCTAAATTAAAAGTTTATAATACCGTATGTCTTTGCAAATATTTTGTTATATAACCTAGAAATTTTCTTAATGCAGATATGAGAGAATTACAAATTTCCTTGAATCAAACCCAGAAGATTCGGCTTCAAAGAGCCCTAGAATTGCTCGAGTCTATCTCTTCGAAGGCCAATTCCGATGCTTCTGTTATAGTTGCTGATACCATTCCTTTGAATTACGACGATGGTGTCCTCAAGTATATAAATACTCACTATCTTTATATAATAGTTGCTTGGATTGTGTACTTTCCAGGGGATTATATGTATTGAGGTATAATTGAAATTTGTGTACAGGGGACATGGGACCCTTGACTTAAATGGAGAAGTAGTTGCCACTATTTGTGGAGTGGTTGAGCGAGTCAATAAGCTTATCTATGTACGTGCCTTACGTGCTAGGTTGTCCATGAAACTTTGTAATTTGGTTTTTTCTTGATGATAATTTAATGTTTCCCTTTCTTTAATTTCTTGTTATTATATCTTTTCTGATGTAATTGTCTGTTCTGGATATTAGATATAAACCGGAGGTTGGTGATATCATAGTGGGGCGTGTTACAGAGGTAAAAACGAATGTGTTTTTAATTAGTTTTTTGGTTTTAGATAAATGTAACATAGAGACGTTGGTGAGTGAAACAGACAAGAAAAACTTATTTGGAGTCATGGTAATGATGCTGTAAATAGGAAAATGTTTTACAATTTCTTCCTGTCTGATGCTATCTTAATCAGGTTGCCCCTAAACGTTGGAGATTGAACATAAATTATAGCCAAGATGCTGTCTTGATGCTTTCTTCAATGAACTTGCCTGATGGTATTCAGGTATTGTAGAATTCCTACCAGACGATGAATTAGCTGTGCCTTCTGATGAACTTTATGGATAATTTTACTGCCAAATTGCTGCAATTGATCTTTTTCTTAAAGAGTGGTTGCATTTGTTCGAACGTTGGGATAATTGTGTGGAACTTTGATGCATTATTTTTATTTCTAGAGGAGGCGAACTGCAGTTGATGAACTCAACATGCGGAGCATTTTCGAAGAAAATGATGTTATTTGTGTAAGTTCTTTTTAGCTCGTACTTTCACCTATCACCGTCAGAAAGAATATTGCCACTAAGTTTCTCATGTGACATACATACAGGGGGTTTTCTCCTATATTTTGACATTTTTGAAGAATTAAACTTTTTGCATTTGTGGGGGGAGACAACTCTTAGCAAAATGTAGTAGGGTTAAACAATTATCTTGTGAGAACAGCTGAGATGCGTCCAAGCTGGCTTAGACACGTACAAATATAAAAGAATATTTATATCCTACCTTGGACGTTATCATGGGTACCATGGAGATAGAACCAAAACTTTAAGTTTTGCCGTCATGGCCATTAGGCCGAAACATGATGGTTATGAACTTTTGTTAGTTAATCGCATGCCCTTTGCATAGGCTGCGGCACATTAGATAGATAGATGCACCTTTGGCACCTTGCCGGTTCTAGCCCAGTGTCTTAGCTCAAGTGCCATTTTCTTTTCTGCCTTTGCTCCTTACTGAGGTCCTTAAATTTTCTTGACATTCTAGTGTTGCTGTAGGTGTCTAACTCAAGCGTCTATTTGTGTCTCTTTCCCTTAAGTGCCATTTCTGAAGTTTTATCTTCCATTTTTCTATCCGTTTACTTTATCAGCAAGTGATGCAACATATCCATTGTTGCTTCTTTTTCCCACCTGTCACCTCTCTCGACTCAAGCCATGCCTTGTGCCTTGCACAAAGGCTTGAAGAGATGTACTTTGGCGCTTCAGTTTACCTTGCACTATAATAAATAAACACCGCTCTTATCAGTAGTAATTATTCATGCATATTTTCCATTTAAGAAAAAATAACTTCACCAAATTTTTTCTCAGGCAGAAGTGCGTGGTTTTCAGCATGATGGCCTACACCTTCAAGCGAGAAGCCAGAAGTATGGGAAGGTAAAAAGAGTCGCTCCTTTTTAAGCTTCTGGATTTTGATGTAAAAACAAAGAATTTAGAATCAAATTTCCGTACGTCTCCTGCATCCTCACTGGTGTCTTAGGAGAGATTCCATAGAAATATTCTTGATAGCATGTGAATACTGATTTATAGACGAATATCATGGGGCAAATTCTAGTGATTAAAACGAATTCTGGAGATGATTATAAAGTTGTTGCACATGAATAAGGGAGAAAAACCAGGAAGGGATTCATTAAGGTGAAAAGACTCATGGGTGGAAATATTTAGTGATTATAAAGAGGAGCTAGCAGATGGGTGGGAGGCAAAAATGTAAAAGATAGTATAGAGAAGTGATTGTGGAGAACACAAAAAAATTGATTCACTGCTAAGGCGTGAAGGACTATAACACAATAGAACAACACGTCTAATTGTTACATTTTTCCTCTTGCTCGTATGATATGTTCAAGATCTTGGAGGTTACCTTACATTTGAATATGGTATCTTTGATCCAATGGTTATTTTGCTCCGAACAACTTTTCTGGCATCATCTCATCTCATTTCTTTACAATTTGTAAACAAGAGTTGTGCACTGTTATCCAGCTTGAACGAGGTCAGCTGCTCACAGTATCACCATATCTAGTCAAGAGACGCAAACAACACTTCCATCATTTGGAGCAGTATGGTATTGACTTAATATTCGGATGCAATGGATTTATCTGGATTGGGGAGCATGTTGATCCCACAGAGGATATGATGATAGAAGATCAAGTTAATAAATCTGAACAAAAGGGTTCAAAATTTGAAGGAACTTTTGGTAACCAAGTGCAAGAAAGAGTATATACTCCACTAGAGACACGTCAGAATATATGCAGAACTGCAAATGCTATTCGAGTATTGTCCAACTTAGGTTTCATAATGACAGTAGAAGTCATAATGGAGACAGTTAGTCTAAGTTTTTCTCTGAACATCAATGTGCATGAAATGCTTGGTTCGGAGTTCTGTGTCCTCACTGCAGAAAAAGAGGCTGAACGGCGGACTTCGAGTAAGAAGAGGGGATGAAACTGTGAGTAATTTAAATTACTGTTCATGATAACTTTTGCTCCAAAGAGTTTGATTTTCAGAGGAACTAACTGTTAGAATATTTTGTAGAATTTTGGATTACCACCACTTGGTCTGTTAGTGTTAACAGTATAGAATGCAATATTTGCTTAATTATCTGTATTATGCACTATCTATTAGTACATTATAGAGCCTTCCCTAAGGCCTATAGAGTCCTTGAACAGCCTCCCCTTAATCGAGGCTCGACTACACTTCTCTAGAGCCCTCAAATAAAGTACACAAGTTTGACATCTTAGGATTTTATTGACATGGTTAAATTAAGGGTATGACTCTATACCATGTTAGGAATCACAGATCTCTACAATAGTATGAGTTGGAAGCGGTGGTAGTTGTTGAACGAACGGGCGTCAAAATGTCAAAATTGGTTGGTTGTAAACTATGTTGGAGAATCCCAACCACTATTCATTTGACATTAACCCGATACAGCCTGAAGCCCACAGGGCACATGAAAGCAAGACATGCAAGGTGGGGGGAAGAACAGAGTAGAAAAGCTGGCAATTATGAGATGAGTTGTGTTGGGATTGCAGCAGCTGGTGAGGTCACACAAAGATATATTATAATATTGAAAATTGAAAAAGACAAATAATGATGGCATCTTCCACTAATGACCCTACGAAACTCCTTCGCCCAATAAAAAAACAATTCTAATATTCTAAATTTCCACCTAACCTTGAATACTTAATTCTATCTCTTCCCGCTTTTTTATGTCTTTCATAATTCATTTTCCTTCCTCTAATAGCCATTCAATTTCATAATTCATTTTCCTGTGGCCTCCACCTCCCTCCACCACATACATATATAATGCATCGGATTTGGATATGCCGGATTTTTAGTGACGTGGCGTTCCAGAAAAGCATACATGACCTTCTCTTCTTTCAATGCGAGATTGCATTGTTCTAAGCTGTCTTGTTTTGTTTCTCCATCATTATTTTACAACCTCAATTATGAGCTTTTTATTTTCTTTCTTAATAATTTATTTACAAATTTTAACTTTCTTGCATCCGGTTTCAAATTCCAATACCACTGGAAACTTCGTTCTTCACCGAATATTTATTCAGTGTTAGAACCGCACAACAATGCACACACTCTTATCAAGATGAACACAAACAATAGGAGCACGTACTGTATCAAAATGAACACAAAGAATAGGATCACACACTTGATCAAGATGAACGAGAGAAAATTCAAGGAGAAGGTTCTATTGATGACGTATGAGATACATAGAATGAGAAGAAGACATTTTAAAGAAGCAAGGCTTATGTCTAAGGGGTATATATATGATTTTCGATTTAACCACAAATGCGTATATATATATATATATATATATATCTATATATCTATAGAATCCTTACGAAATATCCAAACAATGTCATGATTGGTTTTGCATGGGATTGGAGTAATTGGAAATTGGAGCAGTTGGCGTTGTCTTATTTATATATAGTATTATAAAAATAAGAAGAAGAAAAGATGAAAACGAGTGGCCCCAAAAGTGGAAGTCAACCATTTGTAGGAGTCACCGAGTTGGACTAAAATTGGGGTTTTGTTATTAATTTCTGCACTCACACCAATGCCATACAGGTAAGCCCAGTTGAATGTCACTCTGCAACTCTCACACTTTCCTACTCCTTTTCTAAAATGCTCAACTTCCTCAACCGGAGCCTCCGCCGCCTCTGCTCCCGTCTCCGATGGCCTCGTGCCCGGCGGGTCAGACCTAGGGTAGTCGTCATCAAGAAATTTGGAAAAACCACCTCCAAACCTCACGCCGATCCCCACAATACCCTCGACTCCTTCGTTAATGCCTCCTTGGCGTCGCCTGTGCATCCCAAACCTCAATTTCACGGTCGTAATACTCAGAGACCTGTGCGGATTGCGACATTTAATGCCGCCTCCTTCTCCATGGCACCTGCTGTTCCGTACGCTGAAAAATCTAATTCCTCTGCCAAATTCCGACGGAGTTTGGATTCCAGTTTACGGACAAAATCCGTAAATGATCGCCCCAAAAGCATTTTGAAACAGTCTCCACTGCATCCGAATTCCGTGAATGGAGTTGTTGCTAATCATAACCTCCACACCCAACCGAAGTTCGTGAAACCCAAGCCGCGGGTTTCGATCAACCTGCCTGATAACGAGATATCCTTACTCAGAAATCGACAGGCGAGCTTTTCTGAGTACGAAATGGAGAAGGAGGATCCGTCCTCTTCAGGTAACGATGGGAATGGGATGCGGATCGCTAAGAGTCGGCCTCCACTGAGATCGATTGTAAGCATGCCTTTGGAGCGCGAAAAAGGGGAGAGTTACAGATGCAGTAGGACGGTTGTGGAGGTGCTTAGGGAGTTGGATGCTGACATATTGGCATTGCAAGATGTGAAGGCGGTGGAAGAGAAAGGCATGAGACCGCTCTCGGATTTGGCAGATGCTTTGGGAATGAAGTACGTTTTTGCAGAGAGCTGGGCGCCGGAGTATGGAAATGCGGTCCTGTCGAGATGGCCCATCAAACGCTGGAAAGTCGAGAAGATTTTCGACCACACCGATTTCAGGTTAGCAGCTGTACACCACACTCAATAGTATTACACTATTATTAAACTGAAGCAAACCTTTTAGATTAATTTGTGTGTTCTTGCTCTGCTCCTCATTTCATAAACATGCTTTTGATTGATGACACTAGTAGAGTAGATGGAGTCAAGGCGATTGACTGCTTTTGTTTTCCTTTTAAACAATGAATTCAGCAAAAACTAAGCTAAAAACTTAACTTATGGTCAACGTTAGATCTGTGATAGAAGGCAGAGGTCGAAGATTATTGAGAAGGAGTCCCACGTTGTCTAATTTAGAGAATGATTATGGGTTTATAGGTAAGGAATACATCTCCATTGGTATGAGGCGGCCTTTTGGGGAATCCCAAAGCAAAGCCATGAGAACTTATGCTCAAAGTAGACAATATCATACGATTGTGGAGAGTCGTTATTACCAACTAGAAACTTATGAAAAGTAGTAAATAGTTGATAAACTCTGTGAGAATGATAGAATTGGTTATTGGGTTGGGCGGTGGCAGGAATGTGTTAAAAGCGACCATTGATGTGGGAGAAGTAGGAGAGGTAAATGTGCAGTGTACCCATTTGGATCATCTGGACGAGAATTGGAGGATGAAACAGATAAAATCCATAATCCGATCGACCAACGACGAACCCCATATCTTATTAGGAGGCCTTAATTCTCTGGATCCCACGGATTACTCGCAGCAACGGTGGACGGACATCGTGAAGGTATCAATGTTTATTTTGAACTTTGTTTAGCTTAGTTGAGTTTTGTTTATGGCATGCATCCCATGTTGGTTGGTTGGTTGGTTGATTGATTGATTCTTCAGTATTACGAAGAGATAGGAAAGCCAACTCCGGAAGCTAAAGTGATTAAGTTCTTAAAGAGCGGTATGCACTATAGGGATGCAAAGGAGTTTGGAGGAGAATGCGAATCAGTGGTGATGATCGCCAAAGGCCAAAGTATGAAACTGAGTGATGAATATGAAAAAAAAAGATAGGACAATGAGAATGAAAGGTTTTTACTAATGGAATGTATGGCATTGGTTGGCAATGGCAGGTGTTCAAGGGACGTGCAAGTACGGGACACGAGTCGACTACATATTGGCCTCTCCCGATGCAGATTACGAGTTTGTTAAAGGATCCTACTCTGTCCTTTCCTCAAAAGGAACCTCCGATCATCACATTGTCAAGGTTGATTTCCTCAAACCTCCTCATTCTCGAGGTTGATTTCTTCAAACCTCCTCCTCGGCCTCGGCCTCGGCCCCAAACCCGTTCGCATTCCCTTTCCCCTTGGAAGAGATGGACACGAAACAACGATCAACACGCCCACACCCTTTGTCTCCTTTAATTTCTCAAACCTTTTCACTTATATTTACACACTCATTTGTATTACATTTAGGAATGGAACTCATTCCTTTTGTTCTATGCCGTATGTAACCAAAGAACCCATGTACACCTTAATTTCAAACAAAAGTATTAGACACAAAAACTTCAAAACTAAAATGAGATTTGAAGGAAGCTGATGTATTTACCAACACACAAGCTACAGTTACTACTGGAACTGCCTGGATTTCTAGTTAAAGTTCTAATGAAAGCTCTAAGTATATCGTTGTCATCAACAATCTACAGAATTACAGAAGAATAGTGTTGATTTCATATCTCTGCTATGCTCTTTTATTGATCCATGCATCATTATTAGTACATTTGACTTTGTATCTTTTGAAGAACCAGCCGAAGTATAATTCTATAAGGTCGTCTTCTATATTTTGACATAAGCAATGGGGCAATGTAGAAATGGATGACTAATAGTTTCTACGTTCCTTTTTCACGTAAGACATATGTTAGATCCTACATTGGTTGGAGAGGAGAATGAAACATCCTTTACAAGGATATAGAAATCTCTCACTAGCAGATGCGTTTTAAAAACGTTGAAGGGAAGTCCGAAAAGAAAAGCCCAAAGAGAAAAATATCTGTTACAACATATTCGGGGGGATAACGGTAAGTTAAGTTTCTTTTCAACTCTGTCAATGGTGTTTAAGCCGCCATTGGGCATGGACCACACAGAAAACTTTACTTTCTTGGGGCTGTTGCCTTCTCAAACGTGTCCGGAAGAGATGGGCCTTAATGGAGATTTTGCTGAAAAAGCTCCAGAGGAGTCTAAACTTCAAACAAAAGAATATGCTGCTATGACCCATCAAAAACACCATGTTTGTAGTTTGAAAGGGAAATTTCATGGGAATGGTCTGTCTAAAGTACCTGAAGAATAGCATAGGTTATAGGACCAACGACTGAAAAGTTATCTAGTTTCTAGAAATTGGAGGTTGATGGAGTGTCCAAATTTCTTCTCTTCGTCCCTGCAGAGGACATTTTCATCAAAATCACGACATAATGTTTTAGGGTTCTCTTGTTCTTGACATTTCAAAACTATGTTGGATAATCGGTACTCTCCATCTCATCTGATCAATAGAGATCGAGTTCTTCTTGACACTAGGAATATATCTGACATCTTTTAATGTTCGATATTTTATATAATTTTACTTTGATGCGAAGTGATTGATATGTGATGTAATTATTTATTATGAGTGGGAAGCAAAGAATGTATAAATGATTATTGCATTCGTAAGGCAACAGCAATTACCACGCAATTGAGTACAACTTGATGCTTGATGATGCTCGAGTACAGCTTAATCCACTCTCATTCATTTCAAATCATTCCCCAAATAATTCTCAAATATACATATAATATATATAGCAATAATAATCTTAGTATAAACTTTTAAATAAAAAAATTCAGAGGTTGATTGAATACAAAGTTTTAAAATAATTAATTCATTAAATATAAATTTAATAAAAAAATTCAGAGATTAATTGAATACAAAGTTGGAGTGCAGAGACATTACATAATTTCTAAAGTTCAGTAATTAATTAGACCAAATATTAAAAATTTTAAAATTTACCTACTTCACACTTCAAAATTCATGACTAAGCTTATAATTTAATCTTTATTGTAATACAAATCGTTAAAAATCATTAATTTACAAAAATATAATTTGTCACAATCTTAATATATTGATAATAATTTGATGTTTATAGGCTTGAGGATTATTGAGAGAAAGTCTCATATTTGCTAATTTAGGGAATGATCGTGAATTTATAAATAAAGGAAAACTCAAACCAAAACATGAGAGCTTATATTTCGTTTATAAAGCAAAAATATGAGAGCTTATATTCAAAGGAAACAAAGTTTATAAATAAAGGAAAACTCAAAGCAAAGACATGAGAGCTTATACTCAAAGTAAACAATGTCATGCTATTGTGGAGAGTTGTAATTCGTAACATAGTTGGGTACGTAAATAATATGAATAGTTGAAATATATTGGTTAACTAATATTATTTTAAAGTTAAAATCCAATTTTGGTCCATAAATTTAAAATTGAATGAGCTGAGAAGCAGGAGAAACAGAAGAATATTTTTATTTTAGAAAAATGATGTAATGTGGCGAAAACGAGCGTGTTTTAGGGCGATGGAGGACAAAGTGTTGAGATATCTTTTCATGATTATTTGTGACGATTACTCCTTCCACAATCTTAGAACTCACGCTTTTGATTGGTGTGGATTGATTTTACACACCATACCATACGTCCAATTTTGGTTTGTTCTTCGGTAGCTTCCCGCGAAACACAACCTTCCATGGATTCACGCCGTTGGATTTCGCTCATTTCTATGTGGAGCGTTTCCATCTCTCATCTCTTTCCTTTCTTCTTGTTCTTCTTCTGAATGCCGTTGGATTCTTCTCTTCTGCTCTTGTTGTTGCAGAAGGGAGCGCTATTTTGCTTTTGTTTCGATCATGAAGGAGAATGTAGATTCCTCTTCACCCACTGGAATTCTTGAAGACTACTTCAGGAGCTCAGGATCCGAATCAACGTCTTCCGGGGACCCCAAACCGCCTTCCTTTTGGCGTGGAATGTTCAAATTATTGAGGTCAAAATCCACCAAGCCTGTAAGTAAATTGCATCCTCTTAATGTGCTTAAGCTCTCTAAAAAACTGAGCAACAGTATGAGAGAGAGTTTGCATCTTCACTTTCGGTTTGATTCCAACGTCGCCAATTTTAACTCGCCATGGAAGAATTTCACTCTGCGAGAGCTTGAGGTTGCGACCAACTATTTTAGCTCTGGTTCGTGCAACCAATACATCCTCTTTTCCATATTTTATGTCTATTTGCATTTGGTAAGCGTCTTCTATTTTTTTCTTTTTGGTGTAGAAAATCTGATTGGAAAGGGTGGTTATGCTGAGGTTTACAGGGGATGTTTGAAGAACGGACAAGATGTGGCCATAAAAAGACTGACGAGAGGAAAATTTGATGAGAATACTGCTGATTTCTTGCTTGAACTTGGAATCATGGCCCATGTCAACCATCCCAATACTGCTAAGTTAATTGGCTATGGAATCGAGGGTGGAATGCATTTAGTTCTCCAATTCTTTCCTCAGGGGAGTTTAGCTTCTTGGCTTCATGGTTAGTCCTTATATAGGGTTAGGAATCGGAACTCTCCACAATGATATGATATTGTTCACAATGATAAACTCTCGTGACTTTTCTTTGGGCTTCTCCAAAAGACCTCATACCAAGAGAGATGTATTCCTTCCTTATAAACTCATGATTAGGGACTCCCTCCCAACAATCCTCTCCTCGAACAAAGTACAATATAGAGTCTCCTCGGAGGCCTATGAAGCCCTCGAACATCCTCCCCTTAATCGAGGCTTGACTCCTTTCTCTAGAGTTCTCAAACAAAGTACACCCTTGGTTCGATACTTGAGTCACTTTTGACTATACCTTCGAGGCTAGCAACTTCTTTGTTCGACGCTTGAGGGCTCTATTGATATGACTGAGTTAAGGGCATGACTCTGATACCATTGTCCACTTTGAGCATAAGCTCTCATTGCTTTGCTTTGGGCTTTCTCAAAAGGTCTCGTACCAATGGAAATGTATTCCTTACTTATAAACCCATCATTCCCTAAATTAGCCAGTGTGGAACTCCTTAACATAGAAATCATTGCTAAATGACATAATTCCTTTTCACAAGTTTAAACCTATGCATTCTGTAGGTTTGAAGGAGAAGCTGGAATGGAACATTCGGTACAAAATAGCCAATGGAACCGCTAAGGGTTTAAGATATCTCCATGAAGGATGTCAAAGAAGAATTATCCACAGAGATATTAAGGCCGCTAACATTTTGCTCACTGAAGACTTTGAGCCTCAGGTAATTCTCCTTTGACCTTCCTGAAGATATTAGTCGTTCATTCAGTGCTCCTCACATGGTATGCAGAAGAAGTTCAATGTTTAGTGTTCACTTTTGTTGGTTCTGTTGAGTATTCACTTTATAATTATGAGATAAAAACACAATCCATAGAAATTTGTTCAACAGATTTGTGATTTCGGGCTCGCAAAGTGGCTACCGAAGCAATGGACTCATCATATAGTATCAAAATTTGAAGGCACATTTGGGTTGGTGAATTGTCATTCGCTTGTTTACTAGTTGTTCATATATAAAAGAGTACGCATATCAACTCTGATTCCTCCCTGTCCTACTTTTGTAGCTACTTACCTCCGGAGTATTTATCACATGGTATAGTAGATGAGAAAACTGATGTTTTTGCATTTGGCGTGCTCCTATTGGAGCTAGTTACTGGACGCCGAGCTCTCGATTACTGTCAGCAAAGCCTCGTTTTGTGGGTGAGTTTTTATCCTTGCCTCCATAGTACTCGCTTATGCAGGAGGGTTCCAAAGTTTGATTCAATCGTCTCAACAGATTGTTGGGATATGGAGTCAGCTGCCTATTTATAGCTTGTTAAAGTTATATATATACAGTAAACTGAAACCATATATAACTCCTTGGGCTGTGCTTTGAAAATATACTTTTTACCACTTTTGCATTCTCTTTTACTTACGTCTCGGAAGTCATCAATATAAATCTTTAGACAATATTCTCTCTCCTATTCTTTGTGTTTATCTCGATCGAGTTTGTGCGTTGTTGTGCGATCCCAACACGGAGGGCTACTGTTTAATTAAGATTTGTCTACCTTGATCAGGCAAAGCCGTTGCTGAAGAAGAACAACGTGAGAGAACTTGTTGATCCTTTCATAACAAACTATAATTCACGGCAGATGAATCTTGTGCTTCTTGCTGCTTCTTTATGCATACAGCAGTCCTCAATTCGGAGACCTTGTATGAGTCAGGCATGTTCTTGTCTTTATTATTTCTTCAATTCAAAACCATCGTATTTAACAACGGGCTTTGTCCGGCCCGTCAAATGTTATGTCATGTTTGTTGGGGTTGCGCGGGAGGCGTGCGGGTTATTCTCCAAGGGTTTTTGGGTGTTTTGACTAATTTAGGAAATGATCATGAATTCATAAGTAAAGAATACATCTCCATTGGTATGAGGCATTTTGGGGAAGCCCAAAATAAATCCACGAGAACTTATACTCAAAGTGGACAATATCATATCATTGTGGAGGTCCGTGATTCCTAACAATATTGTTGTTCCTCTAGCTCTTTTTTTTATACAACAAGCATGGTATAGGGGAATTTGAGCCCCCGACCTCAAGGAGAGGATTTACTATGGGTATAGCTCTTGTCGGTAGTGTTAGTAAAATTAACAACGGTTGATTAAATAGGTTGGAAATGGATACGGTTTAATTGTGATGTTTGACATAAAGAGAGCATGGACTCCAAACATGTGATATGCAGGTTGTTCAGATCTTGAGTGGAGACCTGAGCTGCATGAGAGGGACCAGAAAGATCCAAATACCTTTCCTTCGAAGAGCTTTTCGTGAAGAGTTAATTAGAGCAGAACAGCCAAGACTGAGGGATGTTCTTATGGAACGTTTGTAGGTGGCTGGTTTCATGGAAAGTGAAAGACAGAGCAGGGCATTGTTATTAACATGTGGAAACTAAGTTGCTAGGTATATATTGTTCTCTTCAATGTTTTAATTGTTTTTTCTCAGTTTAGTTCTTAAAACAAGTTTAAATTCATGTAGTTTTTGTATGTTCCAAGTTTTGTTAGTGTTCATGAAGTTCATAAGTTTGGAGGAGGAAGGGTTGGTAGGATTATGGATGCCTTTTCCATTACCAACCCTACAACCAATGCCTTTTTGCAGTAAATTTCTTCCCCATAGCAAACCTTTCCAAATGAACCATCCATTATTTCCAAGAATATGTTAATGTTGGGTGTTAGAAAACATATAGCTACTAGCTACCCTCCAAAAGGAAGGAAAAACAGACCGTGTACTTAATGCTAAAAAAGTTATGTTTTATTGGGTAACTCAGTTACTTTATTTCGTGAGACAGCACTACCTCCCTCCCTTAGGGCATATTACCTTTCTCATCCTTTCCGCTGAGAAAATATTGGTTATGACTTCAAATATGTATCGTAATAGAAAATAGAAAATGCAGAAAGTACATTTTTGCACATTCTATCTTCTCTAAAAATATATTACCTCATCCTACTGATCTATAAGTGAAATGACATTGATCTTTGAGCTTGAGCTTCTACTAATCCATGGTCATAGTATCCGATTTCATCCTAGACAAGAGTTCATGAAATTTTTTTTGAATTTAGATAATCTTCATTCTGCATCTTCTAGAAATCGAAATCGAAGTCGGATCTATCAAACTTCTCAATTCTAATATTTGAGTTTTCTATCTTCCGAGATTGTGGTGAATATCTCAACTCTAATACCAATGGTTAGAACCCTACGACAAGTCACACATTCAATTTAGAAGGGGAAATTCTACTCCCCATGTAGGCAATTGTGAAAAGTTGTACTGGTTCTTCATATTATTTATGGATTGGTGGAAGCGTAAAGGCGTTGAACAAATTCACCTCCAAATCAGGATTAGCCTGTGTTTTTGTATCCCACTAAATATTAAATGCATGGCGGCAGCTTGGTGGAATCAGATCATGCATAAGCATAAATAAATACATACATAAATAGGGCGAAGGATGGCGGAGCTGTATGAAAGTGACTTGACATTGCCCTTTACTCTTCTGTGTGCCCTTCGCAATAGTTTCCCATACCCACCCCAATCTCATCCAACCCTAACTAACTTAATTTCCTTATGTATTCGGCATCCCCATTTTTCTCTGTTTCTAAACCTTTGGATTCACACAATATACCATTTTTCCTTTTTCTTCTTTACCCTTTCTTTACTTATTGCACCAAATCATGGTACATAACACAAAGCAATTCAGGTTAGGAGTCAGGGATCTCCACAATGGTATGATATTGTCTACTACCTCCCATCGAACAAAGTACACTATAGAGCCTCCCCAAAGGCTTATGAAATCCTCGAACAGTCTCTCCTTAATCGAGGCTCGACTCCTTTTTTGGAGTCCTCGAACAAATTATACCATTTGTTCAACACTTTAGTCACTTTTGACTACACCTTCAAGGCTCATAATTCTTTGTTCGACATTTGAGGATTCTATTGACATAGCTAAGTTAAGGGCGTGACTTTGATACCATGTTAGGAATAACGACTCTCCACAATGACATAAGCTCTCTTGCTTTGAGCTTTCCCAACATGCCTCGCATCAGTGAACATATATTCTTTATTGGTTTCCTAAATTAGCCAACGTGGGACTCCCTCCCAACAATCCTCAATAATTCTTTAGCTTTTCAGTCCTTTTAGATCTTTGTCAAAACTAAGCCGGTCATATTTTGTGAATCAATTAGAAATAGAGTAATATTTATTAGATTATATTGGGAGTAAAAGGATGAAATGGAATCCATAAATTAGCCGTATATGGATGGACTTTTTAGAAGGGTTTGAAATTCGCTTTGAAATTCCCAATATTCTTCCTTTGTGTTGAAGCAACCAAGCTTTGAAATCCGGTAACATGTGTAGTGTAAGTTTGAAGAAAGTAAAAAAGTGGTTTCTTTCACTCCGACCCCATTCCTTCCTATTGCTTTATTGCATCTCATTACCAATGCTTATAGCTTATACACCACAACTTCTCTTCTCTATATATCTCAACATTATGTTTATGTTTATGTTTATCTCTCCCATGCATCAAAATTAATTATTTCATTTTACGCATTCTATTACAATACCTGTTCATTAAGTTACAAGCTTCTAATTTACATTATGCAACATCGTAACCCTAAGACAGAAGATTAAGCAAACTTATGATCATCCCTTCCTTTTTCTAGAGCCCTCGAACAAATTACACACTTTGTTTGACACTTAAGTCACTTTTGACTACACATTTGAGATTCACAGCTTCTTTGTTCACCATTTGAGGGTTCTATTCACCTGGCTAAGTTAAGGCATAACTCTGATAGCATGTTAGGAATTAAAACTCTTCATAATAGTATGATACTCTGAGCATAAGCTCTCATGACTTTACTTGAGTTTTCTTCGTACTACTTCTCAACCATCCTCTAACATCTAGATGGTAAAAATAGGGGTGAATTTTTAAGTATCGACAGTTGGCATGCTAGGGAAGGGGACCCAACAAACCCCATGGTCACATGATCCCCGTCTCACACACCACCACTTCAGCACTTCCCTTCTTATGGAACCGATTTCCACGTACTCAAAAAACAACACCAAACAAGGCGTATTCAACACTAGACAACTACTTATTCTATAAATAAATGAATAAATGAATAAATAAATAAAATTCCCAAACTGCCCTCCCTTCTCCTCCCCTGCAATCATGACCCATATTCTCCTTCTTCTCCAACAAGCCCCTCAGTCATAATAATAAAATAAAACAGAGACAAACATTAGATAAAGTGCATGCTTGTGTGCTGCTGCTGCTTGCTCGCCCCAAGCAGCAGTCAAGACAACACCAGCTTCGCTTCTCCCTCAAGCCAAATCCACTTCAAATCTTGGTTGCTCATATGCAGTTCCGCCATTAAAACCTTCACAGGTGATTTCCCTTCTTCTCACTTCTCACGGAAAAGCAATCCCTACTTTCCAAAACCCACTCCATAAATCCACCCATTTCCTGACTGTTCTTCCCATTCAATCCCAATGGCCAACTCCCACAGAGCTCCCCTTCTATGTTCTTTCATGCTTTTCTGTATGCTGCATTGTAATTTCAACTTCCACGCATCCGCAATGCTGGATCCGCTCGACTTCTTAGCGCTCCAATCCATCAAGAAGGCTTTGAAAGACATGCCAGGCTCTAATTTCTTCGCCTCCTGGGATTTCACTTCCGATCCCTGTAATTTCGCCGGCGTTTCCTGCCAATCCAACCACGTCGTAACCCTAAATCTCGGAGACCCCAGGGCTGGTTCGCCTGGTCTAATCGGTCGGTTAGACCTCTCAATCGGTAAGCTCTATGCGTTAACCGAGTTCTCCGTGGTTCCTGGTCGGATCTACGGCTCTCTTCCCGCAACACTCTCCCAATTGAGGAACCTGCGTTTTCTCGCCGTCAGCCGTAACCTAATCTCCGGTCAAATCCCTGCCGGTCTCGGCAGCCTCCGCAAGCTTAGAACGCTGGACCTTAGCTACAATCAACTGACCGGACAAATCCCTCGCCCTATCGGAACGCTACCGGCATTGTCCAACCTCATTCTCTGCCACAACCGTCTCACCGGCCCCCTTCCTTTCTTCCTCTCCCGAACCCTAACTCGTCTCGACTTGAAGCATAACGCGCTCTCCGGTTGGCTCGGTGCAAACTCCCTCCCTCCTTCCCTCCAATATCTCTCCCTCTCTTGGAACCGTCTCAGTGGTCCCGTAGACCGCCTCCTGATCCGGCTCGATCAGTTGAACTATCTCGACCTGAGTTTGAACCAGTTCACCGGGAAAATCCCCGGCCGGCTATTTACATTCCCGATCACCTCCCTCCAGTTGCAACGGAACCTCTTCTCCGGGCATGTGGAGCCGGTGAGTCGTGTTTCAATCACCACCGTGGATCTGAGTTACAACAAGCTATCCGGGCCGATATCGCCGTTCTTGTCTAGCGTACAGAATGTGTACCTGAATAACAACGAGTTCAGTGGTCGGGTACCGGCTTGCTTCGTGCAACGCCTCCTCTCGGCGAGTATACAGATACTGTATTTACAGCATAATTATCTGACGGGTATAGAGATGAATCCGACGGCTGAGATTCCTTTGAGTAGTTCGCTGTGCTTGCAATACAACTGTATGGTGCCACCCGTACAGACCCCATGCCCGTTGAAGGCTGGAAAGCAGAAGACCAGGCCTCGACAGCAGTGTAACCAGTGGAGAGGCTAGTCCGTCCTCACACGTGTCGTCCAACCAATTTTGCGTTTTTTTTTTTTTTTTTTTTGTGGTCCTTGTGGGTCCCAGATGGATGAAATAGTATAAAAATAATCCCAACATATTTGTAATATTAATATCGTTACATGTGAGCCCAAAAAGTCCCAAATCAGTAATGCAGGCTTCTCCTTCTACTCTGATTCGGAACTCATTACTTCATAATGTTGGTCTTTAGCTGCTTAAATCCATTATAAAGTTTGAACATGTCGAGTACCATTCAAGGTGAATTCGTGGTGGAGTTTCATGATAGTACGCTTATACTGACATATTGGGAGGGAGTCCCACATTGGCTAATTTAAAGAATGATCGGAATACATCTCTATTGGTATGAGGCCTTTTGGAGAAGTCCAAAGCAAAGCCATGAGAACATAAGCTCAAAGTAGACAATATCATACCATTGTAGAGAGTCTTAGTTTCTAATATGGTATAAAAGTCATGTCATTAACTTAGTCATGTCAATAGAATCCTCAAATGTCGAATAAAGAAGTTGTGAGCCTCGAATGTGTAATCAAAAGTGGATCGAGTATCAAACGAAGGTGGCTCCCTTAACTTAGCCATGTCAATATGAATCTTCACTCAATGTCAAACAAAAAAATGTAGTTTGTGAGGTTTGATTTGACTGTTTGGGGTGCACATGGTAGCCGGTGATACCCATATTTTATATATTTATTTATTCTTTTGCTCTAAATAAAGGTCCCATTTTGTCTGGAGTGGTCGATTTTTAACGGTTTGGCCCAGACCTATTGGAATTAGGTTCCGATGTTTTGCGAGTTTTGTCAAACTCTCTCACCCTTATTAAATATTAAATATTAAATATTAAATATTAAATATTAAATATTAAATATTAAATATTAAATATTAAATTATATACTTAAATATGTGGTCCCTTGTATTTATAATATTTCAAACTTCGCTCATTCCATGGGCGGTAATCTTACGAGACTATTTCACCGTCTCGAACAAGATGTCTCTAATTCATCGGTTTCTTTCTCTTTTAAGTGAGCTCGAGCTTATTACGATTAGGTTGTTACTTAGTTGACTTGTGTATAGGGTTGGGTCGAATTTTCAATTCATGCATATTTTGTTCTCATGCTCTAGACTTTGTAAAACACGAGTTTGTTATGATCACATAACAGCGCACATACTCGATCAAGATGAACACAAATAATAGGAGAGAGAAAATGCAAGAAAGAATATTGACTAAATGATTTGTATTGATGATTTCAGTATGTACAACGGAGAATAGAGAGAAGATAACATGACTTCAAGTATGTACACAAAGAGAATAAAAGTACATTTTGGAAACACTGCTTTGTTTGAGTTTAACAAATATAACCCCTACAAAATATCTATTCTATATATCTCTACAATCTCCTACAAAATATCTACCTTATATGTCTCTACTGCTCTCTACCGATCTTTTATTATAAATAGTCATCAGGCTTCACGTTACAACAGAGTTTTTTTAGTGGTTATGACAATTACATCTTCACGATCCGCTCCAATTTATTTCAATGGTTGAATGAGTAAGCTGAAAGTTTATTTTTAAGATTAAGGGTACATTACTATATCGTACCATTAAGCTTCGAGAAAATTAAAAAAAAAAAAAAAAAAAGAAGAAGAAGAAGAAAAAGGAAATTAGAAAGTGAAGGAAAATCGAGTAGACGGCTGAGAAATAAGTAAGATCTCACGTTAGTTGAAGGAGGAACGAAATATTTTTTATAACTCGATTTTGATAATCCGAGAGTTCAAGAGTGTATTACTAAACGAGTAACAAAAATAAAAGAATGTAAATAAAATGCGTTAATTTTTTTTCAAAAGATAAATATGTAGGGTCGTGACACTTATAATATTTTTTTAAAGTTTAAATAATGTATAGATATATATTAAATATATTTTTGATTATTAATTATAATTTATAAAATATTAATATAAAATGGTTGATAATTTTATTTTATACCAAATTAAAAAATTTATTAAAGTGAAAAAAAAAAAAAAAAAAAAAAGTCGTGGTAGACTCATTTCCAAATTCAAAGTTGGAAGTCAAAGATGTGTATGTCCCCGCAGGAACCCGGTTTGACTTGATTACAGAAACCGAAAGAAGCAGATTATAGAACGAGGTTCCGGAGCCTGGCTCGGGTCCCAGCATTGGATTCCAGCTTTCTCATATATTTTCTTCAAATTGGCACCCACCCTCCATCCCATCATGTGTAGTTGAGTTCCGTTTGTTAGATCTGAACCTTCTCTTCGGGGGCGCCCTGGTTATACATGGGTTCCAAGCCGTGGCTACACCCGGCTCCCTCGTATCGGCCACTCGAGACATACTGGGACACCGACGACGACGCTCCTGGTCCTCGATGCGGCCACACCCTCACTGCCGTCGCTGCCACTAAATCCTTCGGCCCCCGACTCATTCTCTTTGGCGGCGCCACTGCCATCGAGGGCGGAGCCTCCTCTGCTGCTCCTGGAATCAGTAAATTGCCTTCCAATTTTTCTACAATTGTTGTCACTATATTATTTCTTTTCGAAGAGTTTATGGAATTAGAAATCTGGTCGATTGTAATTCCATGAGTTTACAGCTATGCGCTTTACTTCTGAATTCTTAGATTAGGTTTGTGATAATTTTGTTGCATTCATGAAGGATTGGCGGGTGTGACCAATTCTGTGCACTCCTATGACGTTCTCACTAGGAAATGGACCAGGTATTATCTTTACAAACATACACACACACACACACACGTAACCAAGTTTCTTCTATTTGTGAAGTTGAGTTGGATGTGCTTACTATTATTGCTTGGATGTTTGGATGTTTGGATATTAGAATCAGACCTGCTGGTGAGCCACCATCACCAAGGGCTGCACATGCTGCAGCCGCAGTGGGTACCATGGTTGTTTTCCAGGTGATTGGACAAGAAAAGTTCGCAAAAATTGAAAATTTTGGAGGTTTCCTTGTATGGTTGCTCAAGCTGGTACTTGTGTGAACTGAATTTATATTTTTTTGGTTAGGGTGGCATTGGTCCGGCTGGGCATTCCACAGATGATCTCTATGTGCTTGATTTAACAAATGATAAATTCAAGTGGCACAGGTAAAATTGAGTCCTTATCTCTGTACTTAAGATGTGGGAAATTCTTGGAACTTATATCAAAATGGGAATATAGGGTGGTGGTACAAGGACAGGGACCTGGACCTCGCTATGGCCATGTGATGGACTTGGTTGCTCAAAGATATCTGGTTTCTGTGAGTGGTAATGATGGTACGTGCAAGTGAACACTTGGTTTATATGCTTATTCTTCTATTCTTTTGTTGGATTAGTTTAATTTAAAAAACGAGCAAATCTCGATCTATCTACATTTTAATGAGGAACCAACTTTTGTTGGACCACAAGAGAGACACGTTCTAAACAAAAAGGCACAAAAACCGTTTTACATATTATGTTTTTGGGCATCAGTAACAAAGTATGATATGTTAAAGAGAGAAAAAGGAGAAATAGCCTAAAGACCTTAGAGACAAAAGACTTGTCGGGTGATGCACATCTGTAACGGACCTGTAAGCAAGGTTGACCTTTTCAAGTTGAGCACAACATCTTTGTGTAATTCGACGATGTGCTCCACCATCTCCTTTGCTTCACTCCTAAAATCCACTGAAGAAGGAAGGTTAGCAAGATCTACCATTAGTTGTGGTGGGTTAATTCAGGCAATCTATAATGGTCACTTCCTTGTAGATTTGTTCTTCATATGGTTGAATTCAAATTCAGCTTCGGCTAACAAAATGTCCCAATGTTTAGGACGAGTAATCCCTAAACAACAAATGAGGTTGCCCACAGTCACTTCAGTTTGGCAGTTAGTTTGTGGATGACTTGCTGTGCTAAACATGAGACTACTATTAAATTTCCTCCAAAGGGCCCTCCTAACCAAAAATATCTAAGGATTTTCACATCACTATTGGACTCGATGGATTTGGGATGCCATGAAGACGAACAACAGCTAAAATGGTCCACAACAGATAGGACAGAGTCACGACCATGTAGAGTTTTAGGCCGACCTAGTATGAAGTCCATGGAGAGATCCTCCCAAACCGTCTTTGGGATAGGCAATGGTGTATATAACACAGGGATTTGAAAAGTGCCTTGGAAGTTTGACAATCATTAAATTGTTTTAACAAAATTATAAACACATGATGTAATTTAGCCTAATAAAATCATTTAGAAACAAGGTCAAATGTCTTATCTTGGTTGAAATGTCCTCCTAGACCTCCAAAAAGTATTCCTTTGAGCAAAGGCTTGCGTATAGATCCGTAAGGTACACATAGTTGGTAATACATATGCTTTGTGTTGTAAACGTTGTCACCTGTAGGGAAGGGGGAGAAGACATGACTTGGAATCCGACTTAAAATCAACCACAAGTTTTGTTTATTTATTTAGTTATATATTTTGATCCAACCCATACTTGAACCAAATCAAGTTATTTTGACCGGATCCAAGATTACATAATACTTCTTTTACTTTTTATGTTCTATATCAGGAAAAAGAGTTCTTTCTGATGCTTGGGCTCTAGATACTGCCCAGAAACCATATGCCTGGCAGAAGTTGAACCCAGAAGGTGATAGACCATCTGCTAGAATGTGAGTATATTATTTATTTGTCTTACCAATGAATAAAATTTCTAGCGTTTTCTATTTCTATAAATTATGGAAAGTTATAGAGTTACATGTTTCTTTGTAGGTACGCAACGGCTAGTGCGCGATCAGATGGCATGTTTTTACTTTGTGGGGGAAGAGACTCTTCAGGCGCAGTATGACAAACCCTTTTCTAGTTGATATAATCTAACATGGATATTCATTCTAAAAAAGAACTAGATACATATGATAATCAACTTTTGGCATAAGCATATTGTATTTGATGCTATATAGTTCGTGGAAAATCGAAGACTTTCTTATTTCTTTTTATTAAACAAGTGTTATGTGTCCGCTACAATTTTTATTTTATTTTATTTTATTTCACTGAAGTTTCTTTTGATAAAGGCCATTATGGTGATGGAATATATATAAAAAAAAATTGGCAATGAACTTCGATGGTTATGATAGAAGTTGAAAAGTGAAAATAGTAGAGAAGAGTGGCTTTAATTTCTATGATATTCATGTAGTTTAAGGTAGCAGTTTGAGTTACTGATGCAACCAAGCATCAAAGGAGAATACCTGTTAATAC